GAGCGTATTCGCTCTGCGGCGTTGAAAGTTTTTTCAGTTTTCGTTGTTTTCTGCTTGCAACTTATGGGCCATAAATTACGCTCAGCTCGATCAAGTGTTGAGGTGAATGCTATCAAGTTGCAACGATGTAGCAATCGTGTTAAGAAGGCGAACAACTGAACTGAGTTTTATAATAGATACAACAGATTGTCGTCCAACTAACTGATAATGAAGACGAGCCTCAAAGCATATGCAACAGTCTAGATCGAAGGGTATATAGGGTATATGGGGTATATATTTGACATGCAACTTGGGTAATACAAATTAGCACCTATTTCAAATTGTATTTACATATTGCAACACAGTCGAATGTTGAAAACTTTGTTGACTCTGGATGTCGTACACTCGTTCACGTGCTGAAAAGAGTATATTGGCTTTCAAATTTTAACTACATATACGCTAGTCTCAGATCTTTAATGAAACTAAAGACTAACAAATATATATAGTTGCAATCAATGATGGGCGTGGCAAAAAGAGAGCTGCAACGCGCACAGCTGAGTGGTTTTTTTAGAGTTATACAAGTTTAAGTCATAACAAAGCCAAGACATATTTATCCAATATCAATTAAATAAGCTTTATTCGATGTGTATTTGCATGACATTAATATTTAAATAAATTAAAATAATTAATAAAATAAAATTAATATTTTAATATTACAATTATCACAACCATGACCATCGCCTTTTGTGAAGACATTTGAACCAATGACTCCGCCAGTTTGCCCATTAAGCCATTTCCTGTGGATGTAGTGCTGTTTTGGCCATAGTTTGTGGCTCATCCTCGCTACAATTCTGCCTTTTTACTTATCCATTCAACGCTATAAAATGGACAAAGTGCAAGATGCAAGAGGCAGAGCACCTTTATTTTAATTAACATTTCAGCAATTTGCAAGCGATATTATACTGTCGGTCTATCTATGATGAAATGTCAAAACAAATTCAAGAAAAAGCCAGTATTAGCCATTAAATGAGCTGTCAAATAAAGCAGCTTTAACGACTCAAAGTTGAGATGCCTTAAAAAATCACCTTTTACATATTTATGTTTAAGTTTTGCTGTTGACCTCGTTGATTGAGGTAATAGTAACAAATCAACTTGTTTTTAAGCTGTGAACGAGTATTGCGCAGTCAGTTGAGCCCGATGGCAAAGTTCTAGCAGGTTAAAGCTGTTCCCTGTGCTGCAAAGCTTAATTAATCTGAAAATGAGGCTAATTCGCATTTGTTTGTGCCGCTTTTGTTGGCTTAGATTGCTAACTGCATTGGCTCTTTGCCAATTATTTAGCAGTCGCTATCACGTCTGCCTATAGTCTGACCAAGCTTTCCATATTGGGCACGACGTCCGATATCTAAATGGGCTTTTGAATCGTGTTTTTCCCTCTGTTTCGGGCTGCTCCAGTTATGAAATACAATAAAATGCGTGAGTTTCGATTTAAATATCGTATTCATTATTTTAGCTGGGCTCAAAGGGCGGGGGCCAACTTCCTGCAAATAATGTGAAAAACAGCGAAATTTTGGATATCAATTGTTGTGCTAATGCGTTCGGCTTACATTAATTAGAGCAGAGCGTACATTGGCTTTCCCCCAAAAAATAAAAAATAATAATAATAATGTGAAAAGAGTTTTCTTCGCTCCGATTCGGAAAACGAAAAGCTTTGCGAGTGACCCAACAGGTGTCAGTGCCTCTCGGTGTTTCACTGCGCTCGAACGTGCCGCTACCAAAACTGTGAAAAAGTGTTGCAAAGTTGTGAAATGGTTCTAGGTGTTATCTGACAATCCTGTTTGGCTCAATAGATGTAAAGGGTATTTCCTTTTTCTGAACTTGAGTTTGGCATTTTTGAGCTATGATCGTTGCCTTCTCTGCTCCAGTGTTGTGAAACGTAAGCAACTTCTAGCAACGATTGCTGTCTCCCTTTCGCACTCACAGTCCCTCGCACATGCTCCATCAATCTCCTGGCTTGGCCTCCAACCGCCGCCCAAATCATTAACGAATTCGAAAATAAAAGCCAAACCCAAATCAAGGACAACAAATTGAAATCGAAAATCATAAATAACATTTTACTTTTGTTGTCAATTTGTTGTTGTTGCGGCTGATTGTTGACTCATACGCGCTGCGAACGTGTCTAATTGGCCAACTTCAAGCGACAGGTTGAAGTCTTGAAGTTTTGAAGTTGTTTTTGGGCTTTACTTTTCGATTTGGAGTGTTTCCAAGTGCAGGCGCCGACGCTGGCGTCGACGTCGCCATCGCACTGTGGGCGCAATAGCCGAGCCCAAATGCATAATAAAAACAACAACTACAAACATATTACAGCTAAGCGAACGATGCAAAGTGCAGCCAAACAGAAAAAGCAGCAACAATAAAAAAAATTATGCTATAAAAGCCAAAAAGGCAAAACCGAAAAACTGAAACAATCAAATGGAACGTGATTCGTAACTGGATTCGAGGCAGCGGAATGCGCCAGAGCCAGCGCCAGCGCCTGTGCCTGGGCCTATGCCTGTGGCTGCGCCAGCGCCTGTCCAGTGCTGTTTTTACGTAGAACCAACGACAACAACCAAATTGTTGTTTGGCAATCAAAAGTAAAACAAAAACCAAAAAAAATTATATAAATAGAAAAAAAGCTCAACTCGAAACAGTAATAAAATTGAAGGAAGCGCGACTAAGCGGTTTGCGAATACCCTGTTTTTAATTAAAAATTTTTATATGACCGTGTGAACCCAAATCTTGTTAATATCTTATTTATATTTTACATATATATATATATATATATATATATATATATATATATATATATATCAATATGCAGCATATCATACCCCACGATTGGCATTTAGTTGGCAAAGGGTATCGCTAGACATGAAAACAGTTCGCGTGCGCGCGCGCGCCGCTGCCTAACGGTGTTTGTAGTGGCTGCGCAGTCGCGTTCAGATTCGTCATAGAGCCGCACGTTCCACGTTTCACGTTCCATGTGTTCCACGTTCCAGGCCAAGCCTTGTGCTGGCCCGTTTGCATTTTGAATGAAAGGCAACGCCGACGCAGACGTAAACGTAGACGTTGACTGCGACCGCGACGCGTTGCCTATTGGCAATAAATAATTCTTTGCAGTCGCTTGTTTTTGCAGCCGCTGACTGCCTGCGCCTTATTTTTGCTGGTGCTGCCGATGTTGTTGTTGTTGTTGCTATTGCTGTTTTTTGTGTTATTTTGTTGCTTTACCTCAATTTAATTAGTTTATTTGAAAGCAGTTCGGGGCGATGGTGTCATAGATTAAATTGGACCCAATTCATTTTTAAACATTTTTTCACATTTTTTTCTTATTTTTGCAGTTGTTTATTTTTCGTCTTTTTTTGTAAGTCTTATAATTTGATTGTTCTGCTCATAAAGGCATTCGAAATGCTCGGAATTCGCATTGAATTGTTAGCCTGGCCAACAACTTGAAGCCAGTAAATCAACTTCAACTGCAATTGCAGTGAAATTGCTCGACATGTTATTTGGCAAGTGCTCAATGGACTGAGCTACTTTTAAGTGAGACGCATTCCACAGACCTTGCTATATATCTCCATTTATATACATATGTCTCTATGTGCATATATTAGAAAAGTTGAGTACTCTTAACGGACTTTGACTGCTCTATACAAGCATATTGCTTAGATCTAGCTTAAATTAGAGTTGATTCCCAATTAGTAATTATTTCTGACTGAAACTTAAACAGATCAGATTTGTAAGTACTTAACTCATGTTACAAATTTAAACATTTTCAGCCTAAAATTACTTAATCGCATCAATATTAAGTCAATGTAAACAAGCCGTTAGGCAGCGATGGTAAAGAGAGTGAAGTAAATACCAAAATGGGCCTTAAATCGAAGACCATATACAATTTCAAGCGCAATGGGTACTCACATAGCTAGGTGCTCTTTGAAGTTTCCGAGCTGTTTTAAGGCAAAGGGGCCCAGAGTCAGCTCAGTGCGCGCCCACAAATCATCGAAGACGACGACGAGGCGAGCCACAAAAGCCGCGCATTTGCCCATTTATCAATTGAGCGAAGCTAATTAACATGAACGAAGCAACGGCAACAGTAACGGCAACAAATAGCAATTGAAATTTGGCGCGTGCGCAAAGCTAACAACAACAACAGCAGTAACAGCAGCCGCAGCTGTAAAAACAACAATAACAATAAATAACCAAAAAAAAATAAATAAAACAAGATAGCAAATTCATTGCAAGATGCACTTGAGCGCATCGAAATCAAAGATGCATGGGTTGGCGGCAGGTTAAGCGGAATGAAACGAAATGGAATGGAATTGGAATGACATGAAAGGAAATGAAGTGAGCTGAACTGAAGCTGCGAGCACCATTGAGTGAGCGCGCATTGCAAACTCAACGAACCTGAACGTTGTTATACCCTACAATAAAGTAGGCACGTGATGGGCATGTTATAGAGAAAGCAATTTGATCTGTGAACAGATTAGCTGTTAGAACACTTAATGAAACCAGATTCAAAGCAAGCGAACGTTTCTCTGGAATTAGTGCTAGGAAGTTGTTAAGCTTCGATTAAAGATTACAATTCGCTTAGTATATAAGGCACTTAGATACATATGTGATGATCCTTGTATGACGTATTCAGAATTGAGATAATTTATTTTTATTAGACATACTTAAAAATTAAATTATGTTTATTCACATGAAAGACTGAAGCAGCATCTACGTTACATCATCATTACAAATATGACTAAGACTTTTAATTATTTTTTCATTTATCATTTAATGCCTCAAACGAATTTGTATGATTCCATAAATATCCTAGGGTATTTGCCTGCCGACTACCGCTGCATTGTCTTCACAACCGTTTATTGCATAATTGAAAACCGAAAACGTAACTCGAAAATATGATTGCGCCTGCGCAGCTGAGACTTACCGTTAGTTAGTCTGTCCAATATTCATGTATATTTTTTTGGTTTTCCTTCTCTCCACAGATGACATCTTTAACCTTGCACTTGATAGTGATAGCGCTGCTGGCGGCGACAGCGGCCGTGGCAGTGGAAGGTGAGGCGGCAACACGCACCGTTGTGCCACGCGGCAGAGGTGCGACCAGCTATGCGAGTGCCTCGTCGACAACCAGCACGCAGGCGCCAACGCTGCGAGCGCCTCGCCAGCGGCGTCCGCCCACAACGCTGCCCATCGACGATGGCAATGGGCGTCGCGGTGCCAGCAGCATCAGCACCACGCCTCTGCCGCCAGCAACGGTACGCCCACAACGACGTCGTGGCCTAACAACAGCAACAACCACAACGACGACGATGTCGCCAGCCGCCGCTGGCAGCAATGGACGTGGACGTGGCCGCAGCAGCTTCAGAGCCGCCCGCCAGCCACGTGACACGCCAACGCCAAGCGCATCGGATCCATTCAGCCCGGGTAGCGCCAGCAGCTGGCGTCAGTCTCAGCAAACGCTGTCATCGGTGTCCTCCAAGCCAGTCGCTGTCTCACGCAGCAGCTCCAATCCCAACAAAACGTGAGTTAGCTTCTGCTTAATCTTTTCTACTTTGCTGCAATATGCAGATGCGCTCGTGACACGAGGCAGGAATGACTATATAAATAAAAATATATGTATAGAGAGAGAGAGAAGAACATGAGCTATATTTTAAGCATTGATCCCAGAAACAAAATGAGACTGAGACTTACCGGGCATACTTTTAATATTCAATTTTCCTACTAGTCCAGCTACTCAAGCATTAGAAAAGGTTTTTTTGGCTTATAAGCAGAGAAGATCTATGCAGCCTTATTCTAGCCACTTTCCACGGTAGCAGCACATTGTCAACGTTAAAGCAGTCGAATCGATCTAGGCCCATCCATCCGTAAGTTTGTTCGTACCTTTAAAGCTAGAGACTTTTCACTTAGTTCCTCCTCCACGCTGAGCTGAGTTTGCTTCTAAATAAAAAACCCTTCGGTTTTCCCAAAGTGTGATGACCACATCTCCGCCGCATTAGATTCTCCTAAAGGACACATTAATGCAAAGCTTCATCAGGCTTAACTTATTTAGTTTTCAAGTCGAACATCCATTAAACTAGTTTGGTGCAGCAGCAGTCTCATGCCTGTCACGCGTTCATATCTAGCTTCAAGAGTGTCTGTCGCTGGTTTTAGGCGACTGCCCATTTCGGGCGCCGCCACTGATTAATGCATCAGGCGGCAGAGGCAAGATACTTCACTCCGATCGCCGCTCTTTCCATGCTGTGTCTAACTGCGTGTCTTATCTTCGTTCGCAGGCCGCGCATGATCCAGCGCTTGGTGGCTGGTCACATTCACAATGCGCAGGGCCATTCCACCTATGAGGTGTCTGCGGTGAGCTCTAACAGCAGCAGGAGCATTGCAATAGCAACTACGACGCCAACAACAACAACAACAACAACAACAACGACCACTACAACAACAACAACAAGTCCAGTCACGAGAAAATCAACAACAACAGCATCATCGAAACGCCGCAAGGCCAGCAGCACTTATCGTCTGGCCAAGCCGTCGCCATCGCCGGCGCCAGAGCGAGAGCAGGATGATGACGAGGCGCTGCTCAACGAGCCGGATGACTTTGATAACTGGGATAACGGCATACTGCGCTTGAGCGCCGGCTCGGGCAAGGAGGCGGAAACTGCCGGTGCCAAGAGTCAGGGCAAACAGAACAAGGAGGATGCAAAGAAGACGCTCGCGGATCAGGTGCGCGACGGCAAGTACGGCCTGATTGAGAAGGAGCTCTTTCGTCGCGTGCCCAAGCGCCCGGGTGTGTTGAGCTATGCCCGCAACTCGGAGGTGCCGCTGGACAACGAGCGCAACTTTGGCGGACTCAACGAGCAGGACATTTGGCTGGCCGAGGATCATTTGCTAGTGATCAAAGGTGGCGGCCTGAATGAAGCCGAGCTCAACGGCGGTGACAGTGAGCCGTGGCCAGCCATTGATGATTACGATGCGCCGCCGCGGCAAATAAAGCTCCCGGCGAATCCGGTGGTGCCGCCTCCATTTCCCGTGCAGCTCGAGCCGCATGGGCCCCTGCAGATTATCCGAGATAATCAAATCGAGAGCCTCCGTGCGACAGCTGGCAATGCAACGGTATCCACTGTGGGCCAGCACACGTCCTACGGCCAAGGCCATGGAGCTGTCCACGGCCAGGGGACGCATTCTGCTGCCCGGCCGGGAGCGTATGCGTCGTCTAAGACAGCTGACCCGGAGCCCAGCTACGTCTACCCGACGCCCTACGCGCCCTGGCTGCTCTATAACAACGAGACGTTGGCCCAGCAATCGCCGACCCATCCACATTCCAGTCCGACTCCCAACGCGGTGCTAAGGAGCCCGCTGCTCGGGCCCTGGCTAATCAATGGCCTGCACGCCAATGGCAGCGTCTCTGCTCCAGGCGCTCTGCACGCAAACATCAGCGACTTTGACGAGGACGATCCCTCGCTCTACTATCCGCCAGCTTACAGCTTTGTCTATCGAAGCAACTACTCGAATCCGGTGCCACCGGGGCCGTTGGTGCCAGGCATTGTGCTACCACCGCCGCCAGATCACTTTACCCTGTTGGAGGCGACGTCCACTTCGACAACAACGCGACGTCCTTATACTAGCACGACGAGCACTACGTCTAGCACCACCACCACCACCAGCAGCACCACCACCAGTACCACTACCACGCGAGCTCCGTCGCGTCTCTCGGTCAAGTACAATGCCATCGGATATCTGCCGCCCGCACCACGCCAGCAACATCATCAACAACAACAACAACAACAACAACAACAACAACCACAACAGCAGCAGCAGCAGCATCAATCCAAGTATGTGGAGCGCGTGCCGGTTCCTGTGGCGGTGCCCATACCCATTTACCCCATTAACTATCAGCCGACAACGCCACGCCCACAGCCTCCCGCACAGCTGGTGTTTGTGCCCAGCACAGAGCGTTCCAATGAAAGGGTGAAAGAAGAAAGGGCAAGGGAGAGAGATCGCGAGCGGGAGCGGGATCGCGAGCAGGCGCCGTTATCCAAGTCGAATCCCATATACTATGAGTACTTCGAGGCTAAGCGTCAGCCTTCGTCCCTCAAGTCGAATGTGATCAATGACTTCCTGGCCACCAAGCCTCCCAAGCGCCCGCACTACAAGTCGCCGCCGAGTCCCGTTAATGATGTAGCCGTAGTTAGCATTACGCCCAAGCCACGCGTCCAATTGCACTCGGAGTACGATGCGGCGCTGGGCCAGCTGCTCAGAAGCAATCTCATTGCCTCACCAGTGACGGCTCGCTTCCAGCCACCCGATTTCGACAGGCAGCCCTTCTTGCCCATGGTCAACTACAGCGCCGACGAGCAGGACCAAAACGCCTTCAAGGCAATTGTCTATCAGCCCCAACCGCAGCCGCAGCCGCAGCCGCAGCGCCAGCGTCAGTTGCGTGTGGGCAAGCACCAGCAGCTGCAGTTGCAGCTGGAGCCAACCATACAGCCGGCACAGGACCAGGACTCCTCCTATCTACCGGACTCGCTGCTGCTGCAGCGACAGCGACAACTGAGAGTCGGCAAGCAGCAGCTGCAACTGCAGCTGCAGTCACCATCGCCGTCGCCATCGCCCTTACCGTACGATGGCCAGCAGGGCGTATACAGCACGCCACTTCCGCCATCCTATTTGGACAATCAATTGCAGCCGCGTCCGGCCAAATACCAGCTGCGTCCGCCGTCGCCTGCCCCATTGCAGTTCTGGCAGCGACCAGCGCCTCCACCGCCACCGCCGCCGCCGCCACAGTTCAAGCGCTTGCGCCATGGCAGCGCGAAGCATCCTTATCCGCCCTACTTCGTGCCCAGCTACCCGAGCGGTCCCGGACCGGAGCCTCTGTACCGCTTGTTGCCCGTGCCGCAACACAAGCACTGGCGCCAGAGCAACAAACACCAACAGCAGCAGCAGCAGATTCAAGTTCAGCCACAACAACAACAACAGCAATACTATCCGGATCGTAACGTTAACATTGGCCATAGTTTGGCCAGTGACATTTTGGTCAACTACAACAGCAACAATCAGTTCAATCCGCAGGCGGAGCTGGTGCCCCAAGCGCAGCTGGGACCGCCTCCACTCTCCTACCAGGCGCAGAATGGGGGCCAGGCTTCCCTGTGGTCCGACAGACCCGTGCGACAGTCGCGTGCCCAAGTGCAGGAGCAGGCCTAAGCCCTGGAAAAGGATCAGGAGTTTGCTGTTCAAATGTGATGTAAAGTAAAAGCCGTCGGTGGAGCCAAGTTGAGCAAATTCACAGTCGAGAGAACCAGTAGATGAAATAGTCAATGATTCACACACAGTCGTACGGTACGTTTGAGTTGCTCCGATTCCGAATTTGGTTCCGATTCCCCAAAATTGCATTCAAATCAACAAGAATTCGACAACATACGTTACATGCCGCAGCCCTAGCAGCCAACAACAACTCAACTTGACTTTGAATATTTTGAATACAGCTGGTCACATCTGTTTTTTATTCAGCATCCCAGTAAGATATTCAAAACATTGTGTACTACGCAAGCTCAGCACGCAATCTAAGCTATACATACATATTAATATATATTATATATGATCACGACTATATACATTTATATGTATATATATGTTTGCGAATGCGAACGTATTCCATATCGCTATAAAAAACTTGTGTAAATATGTTAAGGATACGACTTGTACGATTTGTGTATGCCAAATAAACGAGAGAATCACGTTATTTGGGTGCTGCACAGAACTTAGTCTTAAACAACAGGAGCAACTGTCACAGAGAAAATAACCTTGATTTCTGTTTCTGTTTCTTACAACATAAGCTTACAACGTAAACTTAATTAACTCATTTTTTTTATTTATTTAAATAAGACGACCATTTTCGAATGTTTTTCCACTTCTAGAATGCAAAACTCCACACAAATTTGTATAAAAGCCATAATAATAAGTTCACTATAAATTAATTTAAAGCACATAAGCAAATAACAGAGCTTCAAATTATATAAATAAATACTATATATATATACAAACATATATATATTATAAATACTTTTTTTTTGGTTAACTATAACAAAATTATTTACATATAAGTGTAGCCGAAAATCGTATTCATTTAAATAAAGCAATTACAAATTTAAATTTGAACGATTTTCTTTTTGCGGAGTGTGACCAGCGCATTGCACTCAATTCTTATGCAGCCCTGGTGCGTGACAACAGCTGGCTGGGGCTGAGCAATAAGAACGGAGAGCGTGAACGTCACAAAGAGCGTACGAGAGCAAAAGAGAGCGCACTCGCATCATTGTGTGTGGGCGTGCTTATGTGGGTGTATGTGTCAGCGCTGCGAGTGTATGCGTGTGTGTGGGTGTCTGTGTGTATTTGTGAAGTAGGCGGTGGGAGGTTGGGCAAACAAAAATCGATTGCAACAGCAAATCGACTACAGGAAGCGCCTCATAATAAGGCACGAAGCCGCGACGAGAACGTGAACGACGCACACGAAATAAGCAGAGGCACTTGAATTGACTTTAGCCACTCCGCCCACCGTACGCCTTCTCTGTGCCTAGCAGCCGTAAAATGATTACAGGCTAACGCCAAAAAAAGAGGAAGCAGCTAAAGGCAAATCAGAAGAAGAAGAGCAGCAACAGCAGAGCCACTGGCCGCGGCAGTAGCAGCAAAAGCAAAAGCAAAAGCAAAAGTAACAGCAACAGCAGCAGCAGCAGCAGCAGCATTTGCAAGGGAGCCAAACGAAAAGGAACAAAATTGAATTTTATTACACATTGAGGCCTGTCTACCTGAAAATAACTAATTAAAAAAGCTATTGAAAGCGAAAATTGCGCACTTGCTGGGCCTAGGAGTGTTGGAAAAGCGTGTGTGTGTGTGTGTGTGCGTGCCTGTGTGGGAGCGTATACGTGTACGTGTGCCTGCCTGCCTGTCAGCGTGCGTGTGCGTCTACGTGTGTGTGTGTGTGTGTGGATGTATGTGCGAGTGCGTGCGAGTGTGTTGAGCTCTTCTGCTGCGCTTTTTTTATGCAAGCAAAAATTGTGATAGCGAGAAGCAGCGAAAAGCGCAAACGTTGCGAAAAGGCAAAAGTGGCGCCCACGCCAAAAGGCTGGAGACATGCAAAACTATGGAGCTGGATAAATGAAACAGAACGCAGTTGAAAACAAACACGAGTGGGAGCTGCAGCAGTCCGCCTGCCGCTGTCGGTATACAGTGTACGCACACATACCTACGAACACACCTACAAACACGCGCGCACACACACACATACACACACACCCATACCCATTCACTGAACGACTAACTCACACACACACAAGCACACACGCACGCACACGGATAGCTAGTCGATAACGCACGCCAAAGGATACATAACGGGACAGCGAGTCCAAAATAGCAGCAACTGAAGTCTGGCTGCCTGGCGGCCCGTTTATAAATAGCCTGCGGAGAGGAGGCACCAGCAGCACGCAGGTGTACAATGGTAACAATGAACTCGGAGGCAGACAAAACACAGAGCAGCACGCAAGCAACCAATGCGCTGGCCATGAGCAGCGCACCGAAGTCACCTGCACCAGCAACAGCAACAGTAGCAGCAGCAGCGGCACCAGCGGCCACACCTGTACCAGCAATAGCAGTTGAAGCCCCAGCAGCAACCGAAATAGCAAGCGAAGCAGCAGAAGCAGCAGAAATTGCAACAGCCACAGCAGCAGCAGCAGCAGCAGACACAACAGCAACAGTTAGCAGTTCAGTGTCAATGCCAGTGGCACCGCCAAATGGCAACAACAATGCTCCTGCAATGGCACCCGCGACTGCAACTGCAACTGCAACTGCAACTGCAACTGGAACAGCGGATGCAGCAGCAACAGCTGCATCTGCAGCCGCAACGGTTGCTGAGTCTGGGCAGCAGCTGGACAGTGCCAATGCGAACAGCAGCAGCAGCAGCAACAGCGAGGCGATCAGCACTGCCGTCACCAGCTGCAGCGCCAACGTCACCAACGCGGCTGCCGTTCCGGTCGTCAGCAGCAATAGCAGCAACAGCGCCAGCAGCAGCAGTGCCAGCAGCAACAGCAACAACTGCACGGCAACAGTTGCCGCCGCCACGCCGCCGCCGTCAAGCAAGACGGTGAGCATACGGGATGCAACGGCGCCGAGTGGCAGCGGCGCATCTGCCTCCAAGTCGAGTGGGCTGCTCAGCGTGGGCAGCAATCATCATCATCATCATCATCACTCCTCGCAGTCGCAGTCGCAGTCGCAGTCGCCGTCAGCACAGTCGCAGCCGCCGGCAGCGCCGTCCGTGCCGCAGCAGCCGCCGCATCATCAGCGCGGCAGCAAAAACGAAGATGCGCCCAACATACTCGTCTACAAAAAGGTGCGTAGCGAAACCAAATCAAAATCAAATCAAATTCAATACAAAAACAAAATCATCTAGACGAATATAGACAGACATACGTACACCTGTCTGGGATTATGGCAAGCTTTTCGCCCGATAGCTCAGATATCTGCTCGAAATAATGTAAATATTGCCCAAAATAGAAAACGATTTCTGGTGCTCTTGAAATTTCGTCTTACCCTTCCATGGGGTACTCGACTTTTCTCACGGCATTTTCACATTGCCAATTCTAGGGTGGATCTATGAGGGGTTTTTAGTATGTCTCCTCGAAAAAGAGTTCTCTAAAACGTTACTCTTTCAAATATACGAGAGCTATATGCATGATATATCGTTAACATAGGTAACAATATCTTAATGTGGGTTATTCTTTACTTTTCTTTCAAATGCACAAATATTCGACGTTTCGAAAATCTTGGGCTCTTGAATAGTGTCTGGAAACTGCTTGGGCTAAGGTTTTTAGGAGACATGCAGACATATATACCAAGATTTGTGACCTATAACTGAGGAAAGATGACAAGTTGCAAATCTTTATTGCCTAGTCTCACACATTAGATCCAAGAAACAGCTAAGCTATCAACGAGTAGCATCAATATGTTAACACTCTGTTATTTAACAGTGTGTTAACATAGGCTTAGCAGCATGTTGCAGACTAACAGAGTCTAGTTAACATCAGATGTGCCTCGATTGCTAAGTATTATTGAAACATTGCAGATGGAGGCGATCATTGAGAAGATGCAGGCGGAGTCTGGTGGCGTGGCGGTGCGCACGGTGAAGGCGTTCATGAGCAAGGTGCCATCGGTGTTTACAGGTGCCGACCTGGTCGCCTGGATACTGAAGAACTTTGACGTGGAGGATGTGACAGAGGCGCTGCACTTCGCCCACTTGCTCAGCTCGCACGGCTACATCTTCCCCATCGACGATCATGCGCTGACCGTGAAGAACGACGGCACCTTCTACAGGTGAGTTTGGCGCTGCATACTTTTAGACGCTGACCGAAAAGACTTGCAACTGCTGCTCTAGATTTCAGACGCCATACTTCTGGCCATCGAACTGCTGGGAGCCAGAGAACACGGACTATGCGGTGTATCTGTGCAAGCGCACGATGCAAAACAAGACGCGCTTGGAGCTGGCGGACTACGAGGCCGAGAACCTGGCCAAGCTGCAGAAGATGTTCTCGCGCAAATGGGAGTTCATATTCATGCAGGTGGGTCGACTATTGTGTGCTCATTGACCTTGGGCTCATTGCAATATCTGAATTGAATTCCATTGATCAACTGCCAGGCGGAGTCGCAGAGCAAAGTGGCCAAGAAGCGGGACAAGCTGGAGCGCAAGGTTCTCGATTCGCAGGAGCGAGCCTTTTGGGATGTGCACCGACCCATGCCTGGCTGTGTCAATACCACCGAGATAGACATTAAGAAGGCGTATCGACGCGGCGGCTCCAGCCACGGCACTGGCTCCGCTGGCGCCTCCGTAGCCAAGAATCCCGTCGAACAGCTGACCCGCATCATTGCGCTGCGCAAACAGAAGCTCGAGCGGCGCACAATCAAAGTGTCTAAAGCGGCCGAAGCGTGAGTAGCAATAGCCAATAGCCAATAGCTCTTCCCCATCTCATTCGACCCTCAACCCTTGGTACACACTGCAGCTTGGTCGCCTACTACGATCAGTACAATGAGTTCGATTACTTCTTAACCTCGCCGGAGCTGCCCAATCCATGGCAAACGGACAGCACTGAGATGTGGGATACCGAGAAAAATAGGTAAGTGGCTCTGGAAGCCTCTCTTCTTATCGCACCGAATTCACATTGAGCTCTGTCTCGCCGAGCAGCAAAGATGTTCCTGTGCGTCGGGTCAAGCGGTGGGCATTCAGCCTGCGGGAGCTGCTCAACGATGCCATTGGACGGGATCAGTTCACAAAGTTTTTGGAAAAGGAATACAGTGGCGAAAACCTCAAGTGAGTATCGCGCAGGCAGTGGAAAGACTTGTCCGAATACTTACGCTTATTCCTCTCCAGGTTCTGGGAGTCGGTGCAGGAGATGAAGGCGCTACCACAGTCCGAAATCAAGGAGGCCATACAAAAGATTTGGCAAGAGTTTCTCGCTCCCGATGCGCCATGCCCGGTCAACGTTGACTCCAAATCCGTGGAGCTGGCCCGCGAAGCGGTCAACTCGCCAAATGGCCCCAATCGCTGGTGCTTCGATGTGGCCGCCTCGCATGTGTACCACCTGATGAAGAGCGACTCGTATTCGCGCTATCTGCGCTCCGAAATGTACAAGGACTACGTCAACTGTTCCCGCAAGAAGGTCAAGTCAATACCCAATCTCTTTGGCGTGAAGCGTTGAGATACGCTCCGGGACTTGCCTGTCGCGGGATTTGGCTTTGGCTCGGGCTGAGTCTTTGTTTTTTGTGTGTGTGATCAATCGTAGGATGGCGGATGGCTGGATGGCTGGATGGCCATCAGTGTCAGGATCACATTGTGTGCTTGTTGTAATGTTCTGAACTGTATGTAGTGCTCATATACTCGGACGCATACTCGAATCAATGTATATTAGACGTTGTTACTTATTACATAATAACCTACCTATTACCACTAGGTCGCGTGTGTTCTTAACGTCTCGTTTTGTTAACCGATTGACGCGTTGCCCGTGCAAGCGGTGCGCAATCCTAATCAGCTCGGTCGACTCCCCTAGCCTCACCCCGCTTCCTCATTTCGGCCCAATTCGAAAGTCAACTCTTTAAGTCCTATCGAAAAAGAAAACTGCCAAGAGCTTCTCGAAACAGAGGAGCAGCAGATAAAGTTACGAGTAAAAAGCAATCGCCGCAAGGCGATGCATAGCCTGTTGCAGCCCAAATGCAACGGGACTATGCAATCGTCTAACTGTAACCGATAACACCAAACAAAAGAGAGCAAGCGTACGTGGGAATACACATACGTTTGAAGAGAAATAATCAGTAGCATGTAAACCAAAAACAATAAAACTAAAGCAAAAGCAAAAACGAAAACGAAAGCGAAAGCGAAAACAAAAAGAATACAAACTACCACTGAGAGCCGAGTACATTCGCGTACTTCAAGTTATACCTATACTTAAACTTATACTTATGCTTATACCAAAAATTATACTAATACTTATACTTACTTGCATTAGCATGTTATAAAGCTAACGCCGTTCAGCATGTTGAGAAATCAGTCTAGACGTACAAATTGAATCAAACAATTCAAATCATAGATGCAAACAGGCAATTCCTTCTTTTCTACTCTTTATTTACTACGTACTCTCTCTCTCTCTCTCGCTCTCTCTCATTCGATCTTTTATTATTAGTTAAGCTAACACACATACACAAAAACAGCTCCTCTCGCAGCGCGCTCCCATTTGTTCCTATGTTCCCATGTTGTTCTGTTCCTTCGTTTCCCTGTTCCACACACACTCTCATTCACATATCGCCAAACGCAACAACTAAAGTCGTAAAAAACTATTGTTATTTAAAACAAAAACAAAATGATATACATATACATATATATTTGAATATTTTTTTAATTTGCACGCCTCTGCGTATTATGTGTTGTGTGTCTTTTTGTGTAACTGTAAATGTATGTGGTAACTTAGCAGCAAACAATTATATATAACTTTGTGTATCCGTAAGTGTGTGTGTGTGTGTGTGCGTGCGTGCACGTGCGTGTGTGTATGTGTGTGTGTGTGTGTGTGTATGTGTGTATGTGTGTATGTGTGAGTGTGTCTACGAGGATCAGATTGCAGACGTAAAAGTTGTTACGCGAAAGACTTCATATAAATGAAGCTGAGAGAGCGGTCGAGAGAAAGGGAAAGAGAGACAAAGAAAGGGGATTAGCAATCATCAGAGTTAAACAGAGACGCACACAAATTCAGGCATATATGTATGTATGTGAATGACTCATAACGAGACTAAATGCTTCATGACAGGGCAATCAATCAACTCCATCGCTATCTTCCCACAAATCGATGCCCAGATACACACACATAGACATACATACATACATACATGCATATATGATGCGAACTTAGTATACATAAAAAATATATATGCATAGTGGCAAATCGAGCAAGTCGTATTAGCAATAAGATTTGAACGTACTTTCAAAGTGAAGCAAGTATACACTCAACCCACACACACACACACGCAAATTCATCTGTGAACACGCGGCATGAGCAGAAGCAAAAAAGTTGCCTGCTTTTAGGCGGCGGTTATTAATTGAAAACTGTAGAATGAACCCTGAAAATCTCTTTGTGTATGTAATTGTATTGTATTTATTGTATGTTTGTAAATGTAAAGCGGTGTCTAATTTAAACACATATACAAGCGCAGCAGCAGCAAGCCGAATAATTATTAATTATAATATATATATTGTATTCAAGTACAATCTCAATGTGCGTCTTCTGTGTGTCGGTAGTCAAATTTAAATCAATTTCAAGCAACTTATACTAAACTAAAGCTAAACTAAATACAGAATCATGAAATGAAGTCAAGTAAAAATGGATATAAATGTTTACAATTGCTGAATTGGCTTTTTACGAGTAATATACATATATATATATATATATATATGGATGGATATAAATGTTTGTTACTTAAGTTATTTCTTTTTTACGCTATAATTTGCGTTCTCGAGTGAAGGAAGAAAAAAAGCAAAAAAACCTAAAAAAAATGTTGGAAAACTGTTTAAGTACTTTGTTATTGTTTCCTCCATTGCCCACCGTTCTGTGAAAAAAACGTAATATAAACTATATAAGAGTATATAAACCAACCGAGAGAACCTTAAGCAAAAAAAAAAAACTGACAAAAGAAGAAAAACTTTAAACAAAATCTACTTAAGCAATTTGAGTCGAAGTGTTTTCGTTGTTGTTGTTTTTTGCATTACTTCGCTGTTAAGCGCATGATTTACATTTACTAGAACCTATGTTTACCCAATCCAGTCGAGATTGTCTCGGGTAATCGTAAATGCCAAAGCGAATACACAAAATAAACAAAGTAACTAACAGCAGCAACTAGCAAATAAATAAAGAAACAAGCAACCAAACAAATAAACAAATAAATAAAGAAATACATAAATAAAGAAACACATTTCTAATAAAATTAATAATAGCCCCCGAGTTAGGCACTCGAATCAGTCGTGTTGAGCATAGCTAAATGTATTGCACTTCTCTATGTATTTGAGCCGAAAGGATCACAGTATAATAGAGCTTCTTCTAGTCTCTAGAGTCTGCAGCCTCCGTATTGTATCTAGGCTAGCCGAGTAACTGGAAATGCAAGCGACCGCGTTTATTGTAAATTGTTGGACAAAACACTAAATAAAGCAAAGGCGCAATTTGAGTGAATTTAAATTGTGACCCCAATTACTAATACTCGTTGCCTTTCGGATGGGAATCGGCTAGAGCTGGGTCAGGCTGCTTGGGAAATTAGATCGCAACTTCAGCTGAATACGTTTTACTTACTATGTTTATATATTTTTAGTTCAAATTAGTGGCAAGCTGACTTGAAGCCATCAAGAAAGGCCAACTCATCATCTAGCCCCAACACAATTCCATGTTGACCCCTTCCTTGTGACATTAGAGAACCAGTCAGAGAGTGGAAAGTAGCCGACTAGGAGATACCTCTACCAAAACACATGCTCACACACACACACATACAGACATAAAAGCCAGCTTTTAGTTGAATCCAGGGAGCTATCCAAAACATTCAGACTAACTTTTGGTTTCTCTTATGCATAAAAAATCAAATCAAAATAGCAAAAAAATAATAATCTTGTGCAGTATTCAAGAATATATAGCTTTAGCTAGTTTTTGTGATTCATAATATCACAGCCGTCTACGAATGGACATAGATCAAGTTGAGTCTAGTCTGTTCTCGAGGGACTCAGGATATACAAGAGCTCGCCCACTACCTTCCTACCTCCCACACCCCCCACTCTCTCTCTCTCTCTCTCTCTCTCTAGCTCCTCAAAGATCTTATACTCAATATGATATGATTTAATCAATTTCATGAAAAAGGAAGACCTTATAGACGAGTTAAGACAAATTTAATCTGTGCTTACAGCAGGAAGATCCGATTGAAGGGAGAAACAATCTGCCAGTCTTATCGTATGCAGCTGCTGATGCTGATCATATGAATGAATATATATATATATATATGCCAGCTAAACAACCTGCTGCTAAAAACTATGAAGTACTTTCCATTATCATTTCATTTGAGTGAGGAAGGCACCATCGGCAGACTATGCTGAGGTCCTTTTATCGGACGCTCAAATTCTTTAAGTTGTATTTCGTGTGCTTGGAGCAACGTTGTTGTCTGGCTGCGTTGTTTACCTAGCGAATAGATAAGCCTAATGCCGATTGATAACAACGCGGCAGCAATGACTGCGCTGAAGCTGCTCTAAGCACTTCCCGTCACGGAGCTGCTCCCCATAAAGTTCAAATGGCTTATCAATGCCTCTGAATGCTGGCCAAGTTATCTGCACACGGCTCTAACTAAAAAGAGCTTATCTAATAGATGCAGGGCTCGTAAGCCAGCTAGCCAGTTAGCCAGCTACCCACTTAAACAGATAGACAAAATGCCACTGGGACCCAACTGCGGCGGCGTGCGATAAGGCGTCGAGACGTGACAGAAGCTGCGAACGGGCAGCGGCAGAGACTTGATCAGCATTTACGACTCTCGTTAATAATAGTTGTGATTTCTCTCGTTTTTAGTCAGCATTCATGTTGGCAATTATCGGCAAGTCAAGCTTGTTCGATCAGAACAACCCACTAGAGTTGTTCCGATCACGTTTTCGCTATAAACGTCGTTCAAACTCAATTTACATGCGGGTCCGACAAAGGGACAACGACTTTTTGTTGGGGGTGGTCGGGCGTGTGAAATTCCCTCGAAATCGCCGATCCACCGCGAGTCATTGCACTTGACTGTAGAAAGTAACGGCAAAATGACGCACACCTGAGATCTGAATACAAGAGCCAGCCAATGGATAAGTGTCTAGTCCCTTGTCGGCAACGCTCCTCAGTTCTTAGACAGAGCTCAAGCCACCCTGTTTAACGTTGACCCTTACCCCCACCTAAACTTAGCCATAATAATCCATATTCAGCTTTAGATTTACATCCTTTAATTCTTTGAGACTTGCTTTGCATTGAAGCGGAATCATTTTCAGTCTGTCTTAAATTTATTCGTTGAGGTTAATAACGGGAAAGGTAAGCTGTACGATCAATTCATAAATGATATAAGCAAATCGGGCAAGTCTTCTCTGAATGGAAGGGCACGACTATAAGATACCCTGCATCCAGTCTGAGCTGTTTTTTTAAATATTTATATGTAAGATGTGGATGTAGCTCCGAGATAATTTCTCGACTTAATCGCAGTAATAAATAATATAAATCTATATGAAGACAAATCATCGATGATTTCGGAGTGATTTTTAAATGGGTGGCGTAGTTCGGAGTAAGATCATTGTAGATATATCAATAACATTTTTCGGAGTCATAGTTGGAATAAAGTCCATGTGAATATCTTCACGGTTTTTGGCCCAATTACGACTCCGAACAATGTCTTCTTTTTCAAGGGATAATTAATACTCCGAATGACATTTGCTTAACTCTGTATATCTTATTCCGAACTACTTCATCTTTCTAAAGGTATAATTAACATTCCGATAAATGTCTTACATATATAGAAATGTGTCTAAGTCATTATTCGGTGTCATATAAATAGATCTTACTCCGAATTATGTAATGTATAAGGCATAATTCGGCTGAAAGTTACATAATTCGGAGTTCGGAAACCTGACTCAGAGTAAAATACGAGAACATTTATATTTAGTTCGATTATTTTACTCCGAAATGTTGTGTGCACATATAACAAATCTATGGGCATATAGAGTGTCAACGACATCAACCCACCCGCACTCTCATATTGCTATCGAGAAACAGAAATAATATAAATAAACAACATGAAACAATTGCATCGGCTCGTATCTGCCAACAGAAAGAATCGATTGCAAAACAAATTGGAAATGGCAATCACAGAATTTGAGTGGCCGATAACGGGTCGATAAGTGCACATAGCCAGATAAAAAAAATAAAATAAAATATATATATAAAGATATATATGTATAAGTTAGTGTATAGGGGGTGCGATACCCCGATGTCTGTGTATTCCAGATTTATTTTTTTTTTTCGCTTTTTGATGCTCTGCTCTCGCGTCACATGACTGAAAGTCGCATGACGCAATCGGAATGCTGATTAGGCTACATAGATGGCACATCTCTATAATGGAATATATAGTATCTGTGTACGTTTAGTTATAGTATTTTCATTGGGTTACGGATCTCTTCAAGTCGATTCGTCGACTCGTTGACACAGCGCATCAATAATTCCTATGAAAGTGCAGTTTTTCGGCCACAATCGTAATCGTTTAATGATATAGCTTGAAGAGGGAAACTTTACTATTTCGGTTTAACCTTAAACTTTTCCCACTTTTTATCGGTCCGGGGTTTTTTCTTAATAAGCACACAATTTGCATATGTGTAGATATTTATTTACATGGGACTTAGCACAGTTCGGCTGAACCATTAAAAAATGCTGTGGATGGAGCTTATTTATACGTCGCTAGAGTTCGCCTGGCACACGGCCTCT